CCGCCGCCCGGCTCGGCTGCCGGAGACCCGCTGACCGATCAGCAGCTATTTTTAAGCCATGACACGCACGTCGAAGCAGGGCTCATAGCAGTGTGTGCGTCGGTGACACACGGGGACAGGGTGTCGCCCTCCGAGGTCCGAGTCGCCACGCAGCGTGGGCTCACCCGCACCCCCTTGCGAGCCCAGACACAGGCGCACCGAGCGACAGCGGCCCCGCGAGTGCCTGCCCCTGTGTGGCTGTAGCTGCGACAACCGCAAAGCATTTTGCCTAAAGAAGACATTACGAGCCGTGTCAGGCAGCGTCTTAAACACACACGCGGCTCCCAGGCAGGGGGACTTACACAGACATGACTCTGTGCACTCACGTGTACATTCCTCGTTCTCAAGAAAACTGTGTCACAGGTGACAATCGTCAGAGTCCCTTGTTAGCATTTACTATATGCCATGTGCTTCCCATATCTTAACTCATTTTAACCTCGTCACGGCTCTGTAAAGTAGATATGATTATTGGCTGTCCTTATAATATTAATGGATAATGGGGAGGAGGCGACTGAGGCACAGAGAGGCCAAGTAATCTGCCGAGGACACACAGCTAGTTATTGGCAGAACTGAGCTTCCAACCACAGAAGTCTGGTTCCGTAGCTCATGTCCTTACTCCAAACCAATGTCCCCAACACAATGGAGAATGCATCAGTTGATTTCGTTCCACTCAGCCATTTGCACCACTCAGCTCAGGGCGAGCTCCACTTTCCCCAGACTCCTGAAGAAATTAATAATCCGCATCTCTGTTCACGTGCTGCATTTTAGTGCTATTCGCCTCTGCTTGCTTTTCTGTTGTAAGCCCCTTGCAAGCACCAAGACTGTAAGCATACTGAAGGCAAGGACAGTGTTTCCCTCCCCAGTGCCTGCTTCATGGTGTGGAGGGGGAGATGGGGGCGGTGGGACAGACAGTGAATGTTATCAGGTAATGCTGTCTAGAACTAGCCAGACTGGACCTCTCTAGCTGTCTCCTGGAAGAAAGACAGGAAAGAGTAAGGTTGGCTTGGGCTGGGTTAGATACCAACATGGAATCAACTGCAGTTGCAATCAAGATTGACTACATTGCCAGCAGCCATGGTAGACCAGGCTTCGGTCTTTGGGTCAGAGAAAATACTGGCCAAAGCCACACGATTCCCAGGTCAGTTCTGTGGGAAAGAGGAGGTTCCATCACAGGCTGCCACCTACGATTAATGTACCTCCTAACCTTTTCTTCTCTAGAGAAGCAAACTTGATTCCTCTCAAGTTTCCTTGTGCTTTCTTGGTATGCCAGTTTACATGAAGAAATGAAATCTTCATAACTTAAAACAAAGAACTGAGCTGGGAAATCTGACATTTTAATTGATAGATCCACATAGTTATAAAATCATCACAAAATAAATTGTTAAAGACCAACCTCATTTTAAGTGACAGAGTCTTCAGGGTTGGTAGATTGACAGGAGATTGTAGGTGAAATTGATCTCAATCTGTAACAAGACTTCTTTTTCAATCCTGCATTGCCCTTTTCTCAAAAAGCTGGGAAAAGACGGTGTAAGGCCCACCGTGGGCAATATGGACCACCGCTTATGGGTCACCACAGAAATTGTCCATGGACCCACCTCTTCATGAGGACCGTTTCCATGGGTCCATCTACAGCCCAAGTGGTTTCACTTT